GCTTAATCCATTTGCGCGTTGATCGGTCTTTCTAGATTCTGGTGCGACATATAGTTCACAAGCAGCGAACGGGTTTTTCCCTTGGGGTTAGGTATCACTATGAGACTACTATGCCTATACGATTATGATCGATTCCTTTGATATGATGATGTATGATTACGATATGATTATGCATGAAATACAATGATGTTACACTAATGAATGTTATGTAAATGGATGATACAAAAATTGAATGATCGAATTTTATGCGAAAGATTATTGATTATTAATTGATATGTCAATTTGTTTATATGATCATAATTTGGATGATTGACTCGTTAGGGGATGGTATGTTTTCCCTTTGGTTGTGTACAAACTTTTATTGTCTCACGAAGCATTTGTTGACACTTGTTTCTTTGCTTTGTGCCTTCACGATTGGTACAGGTAGCTTAGGAGCTTGGCTTGGTGTGTTGGGGTCACTTTTGGGTAGTTTATCATTAGAATAAAGATGCCAGTTGGACAGGTTATTTAATTTTAAAACTTATGCTTCCGCTACAATTAAATACTTTTGATATTTTCGTTTTGAATTTACTGTAACGTTGTGGTTTGAAATGTTTTTGAATTAAACAATGTTTACAGTCTTCCGTTGCATTTTCCATTAAAAGATTTTAAAAATAAATGAAACAAATTTGGGTGAAAAATCATGACGTTACAAGTTGGTATCAGAGCCATGCTGTGAGTGAACTGAATATAAATGTCGGTGTTCAGACTCACAGTTTGGTTGGCTCAATTAGGACCTTTAGGTACTTAAGGGGGGGAGGGTGTGTGTTAAGTGTTGTAGGATAGTTGCATATAAACTTTCCTTTCCTAACATTTGTATATGCATCTAACAAAACTCTTTATAAATTAGGATAATGTCCAACACTGAGGAGAATGTGAATGTTGGAGGATCGGGCGACAGCCAGAATAACCGTACTCCCGGAACACCGCCGTTCATGTTTCAGACTCCACCCATTAACCAACTGCCACGAGCCCAACCATCGCAGAGTGCACGCAGCAGAGTGAGTGCTGACATCATTGCTGACCTTCAGGAGCAACTCCATGAGAGGTATAGGACGTTTGAGTAGATGCGGCGAGCGATGCTTGCCGCTAAACTTTTGCTACTTGATGGCGTGAATGAGGGTGGAGATCAATCGTTTGATTATGAGGTACATAGTCGTTCCGTGCCAACGCAGGGGGTCGCTGGAGATGTCAGACGTCGAGGGAGTTCATTCAAAACCTTCATGGACTTTAAGCCGCCCACCTTTGAGGGGGGCGAGGGGGGCGAGAGTGCTGAGGCATACCTTCTTTTGATTAGGAAGATGGACCAAACCTTCTGATCTGGTGAATTTATAGAGGATCAGAAGGTGAATTATGTTGTGCGAACGTTTGACAAGGAAGCACTCGAGTGGTGGGACACTATTGACGCACGACTCACTGAGGCCACTCGGAGGGCTATGATTTGGGCGATTCTTACTAAGAAGGTGACAAATCGTTTCTGCAGTGAAGCTGGCATACAACAGGCCCAACGAGAGTTTTTGACTCTTCAGAAAGGTAGCATGACGATTGCTAAGTATAACACTACCTTCACTGAGAAGTCACAATTCGCTACTGATTACTGCCCGACGCTAGTACTACTAAATATTTGATACCATTGCATTTATATGCTCATTTGTGGTAAAAACAGACTTCAAGAGTTCCGAAGTTAGATATTGTTGTAACTGTGTTTGAACCAGTCGCAACACGGGAAAGGTTTGATATGTGTGATATCTCTTTTGGTGAACCCACTTTTCCTAGGATATTATTTCGTTTTAGGAGTATCACTTGATGAGGCGACTTAGGAACAAAATGACGCGGTCATTTAGAGATTCCGATGTAATGACCCAAAAATCTCCATGTAAACGATGTTAGTTTTCCATTATATAGGATTAAGTTGTATGTGTGTTTCGCTTGAGATGATATATTTTATATATAATAATATGAAAAAGAAGGAGATTAATTAGGATTTAAGAGATTTAATTGATGTCTAACTTAGTATCAAATATTTAAATAGTAATTAAATGATTATAAAATATTTAGTTAGTATTGTAACGTAGTTAATAATTAAAATGTATAAAATGTTTTAAAGTGATATTAGATTTAGATATTGCTCAAAGTTTTAAAGAAAGTTCTTTTTTTTTTTTTTTTTTTTTTTTTTTTTTTTTTTTTTTTTTTAAATAAAAAGTGTTTATTTTATATGGGAAAAAAAGTTAAATGATGATAAAGTAAAAATAAATAATTAAATAAATCATATTCAATATGGTTAGGGGTATTATTAAAATAAGTATAAAAAATCAGGGATTAAAGTTGAAAATTTGCAATTAAAAAGCCCATGAATTTTAAAAACCTTAATTACGTCTGTTTCCACTCTTCCTATCTTTCGTTCGTTCTTTTTGCGTTTGGGCTGCCAGGGGAGACTTAAAAGGGATGCATGCTATTTAGTGGAGTACACTCAATACGTGAGAGTAAATAAACGTGAGTGAAGTGAGGCTAAGCGGTTTCCAGCGAGTGGAGAACTTCGGCGATTTGACCTAGTTTTCCAGCGACTCAGTATTGCAAATAGATCATCATCTTGTGTTCTGCTACTGTACGAATCATTAACCTTTTAAGTTTTCTCCTCCACTTTTATGTAATCGTGTCCCGAGAAGCCTTCATGTTATGTGCTTATTTTTCTGTTAGTGGTCTTAAACCCTACCCTCGACTGAGACATCGATTACATGTTTACGATATCCTGCTTGTTCTAGAAAACACAAAAATATATGTAAGCGAATTCAAAGTGTTATATGTTGCACGATGCTGATTGTATTGGATTTTGTTTGTTGTTATCAACTATAATTATTAATTAAGTTGACATGCGATTGGTATTGAACTTTATGACTAATTGTTGGATGGCCATTTTGGGATTATAGTAAAGAAAAAAAATACATGCAAATTATATGCACTCACGGTATTTAAGAAGCTGTAAGATTTATACAAACAAATTAATTATCCAGAATACGTCACAAATATTACTTGGATGTTTAGGTTAATAAATCGTCAGTTCATGGTATTAATGCCTAAACTGATTAAATATAATTTTTGATTTTATGTCTAGATTTTTTTTGACTAACTAATAGATTTCAAACGACAAGTTGAATACGACGTTCCCAAAAGCAAAGGTGAGTCGATAGTATTTTCATAAACCTTGTACAAAGTCGAAAACTACTTTCCAGAAATGGCTCGATTAGTCAGATATAATTTTTTTGATTATGCCAATATGTGCAATATGAGATTTGTTATTGTTTAGCCTTCTGTGATATATGTATGCTTAGTAAATTTGGTTGACATGCCTATATTGGTACTTGCTACGATTAATTGCACCTATGATATGTCATATGAAATGCTTGATATTTGACTATGATCTTGTTGGCTATCTTGTTGGTATAAATAGTATGAATCTTGATTATGATAATACAAATATTGCATGCTTGTACTTGATTTATGATCGATTATGTGGAGTTATACGTAGAGGGAAAAGGGTAGAACCTAGCACTTAGCATGAAACCTTATCCGGATACCTTCGAGCCTGGTTGGTTGGAAAATACCTTCTAGGAAAAGAGCTTAAGCCAGTTACGAGTTGCTAGTTCTTTCTAGATACCCGTGTAACACATGGTATGGAAACACTTTGGTGTTTGCGGATTGGAGTGATGTTGGCCATTCCAACGAGGTCGGATCAAACATCACGTGGGAATCAGAAGGTGCATCGGTAGAATTGACACTGTTTGTACCAATCCCGAACGACACTGCGATGTACTTGTAAATTGCATAGTCGGAGTAGTGAAAGTAGAGTCTTGGGGTCGGTGTGACGGGTGGGAGTCATAAGCCACTTAAAGCATTTGGCTAGCCATGCACATAAGAAGCGAACGGGTTTTTCCCTGGGGGTTAGGTATCACTATGAGACTACCTATGCCTATATGATTATGATAGATTCCTTTGATATGATGATGTAAGATTACGATATGATTATGCATGAAATATGATTGATGTTACACTAATGAATGATATGTAAATGGATGATACAAAAATTGAATGATTGAATTTTATGCGAAAGATAATTGATTATTGATTGATATGTCTATTTGTTTATATGATCATAATTTGAATGATTGACTCGTTAGGGGATGGAATGTTTTCCCTTTGGTTGTTTACAAACTCCTATTGGCCCACGAAGCATTTGCTGACACTTGTTTCTTTGCTTTGTGCCTTCACGATTGGTACAGGTAGCTTAGGATCTTGGCTTGGTGTGATGGGGTCACTTTTGGGTAGTTTATCCTTAGAATAAAGATGCTACTTGGACACGTTATTCAATTTTGAGACTTATGCTTCCTTTGCAATTGAATACTTTTGATATTTTGGTTTTGAATCGAACGTAACATTGTGGTTTGAAATGTTTTTTAAATAAACAATGTTTACAGTCTTCTGTTGCATTTTCTGTTAAAAGATTTTTGAAAATAAATGAAACAAATTTGGGTGAAAAATCATGACGCTACAAGTTGGTATCAGAGCCATGCTATGAGTGAACTGAATACAAATGTCGGTGTTCAGACTTATAGTTTGGTTGGCTCAATTAGGACCTTTAGGTACTTAGGGGGGGGGGGGTCTGTGTTGAGTGTTTTAGGATAGTTGCTTATAAACTTTTCTTTCCTAGTATTTGTATATGCATCTAATAAAACTATTCATAATTTAGGATAATGTCGAACATTGAGGAGAATGTAAATGCTGGAGGAGCAGGCGGCAGCCAGAATAACCGTACTCTTGGAACACCGTCGTTCATGTTTTAAACCCCACGCATTAACCGACAGCCACGAGCCCAACCGTCGCAGAGCGCACGCAGCACAGCGAGTGCTACCATCATTGCTGACCTTCATGAGCAATTCCAGGAGCGGGATAGGACGTTGGAGCAGATGCGGCAAGCGATGCTTGCCGTCGGACTTTTGCCACTTGATGACGTGAACGAGGGTGGAGATCAATCGTTTGATGATAAGGTACATAGTCGTTTCGTGCGAAGGCAGAAGGTCGTTGCAGATGTCAGATGTCGAGGGAGTTCATTCAAAACCTTCTTGGACTATAAGCCGCCCACCTTTGAGGGGGGCGACAGTGCTATGGCGTTCCTTCGTTGGATTAGGAAGATGGACCAACCCTTCCAATCTGGTGAATTTACAGAGGATCAGAAGGTGAATTATGCAGTGCGAAAGTTTGATAAGGAAGCACTCGAGTGGTGGGACACTATTGATGCATGACTCACTGAGGCCACTCGGAGGGCTATGACTTGGGAGATTCTTACTAATAAGGTAACAAATCGTTTCTGTAGTAAATGTAGCATACAACAGGACCAACGAGAGTTTTTGACTCTTCATAAAGGTAGCATGACGATTTCTAAGTATAAAACTACCTTCACTGAGAAGTCACAATTCGCTACTGATTACTGCCTAACCGAGGAGAAGTTGATTCGTCACTATGTGGAGGGATTGCCATTTGAGTACCTTGCAGTTGTGAGATTGAAGACCACTTTAGTCGAGGCCATGGATGAGGCCCGCAAGATGGAGAATGATATAGCAATTCTGGATCGTACCACAACGAGGTCCGAGGAAAAACGCAAGTGGGAAGGTTCATCTGAGTCCTCAAAGAAGAAAGATCACCTAGATAAGAAGGGTGACAAACCAAAGTACTACAAGAAATGTCACTCTTCACATAGAGGTCCATGCAATAGTAGTACTGTGAGCTGTAGACGTTGTTGTAAAATGGGACATCGTCATGAGGATTGTAAGAGTACGGAGCTGATGTGCTATAACTGCAGATATATGGGTCATATCAGTGCCCAGTGTCCCAATCCCAAGGTCCAAATGGATGCTGGTGGAAATAAAGATGAGGTGCCTAAGGCAAAAGCACGTGCATTCAACATGATACCAAATGAGGCTTGACACAAGGATAAAGTAATTTTCAGAACTCTCTTAGTTCTTTCTATACCTACTTATGTGTTATCTGTGTTCTTGTGTTATCCGACACTAGTACTACTAAATATTTGATACCATTGCATTTATATGCTCATTTGTGGTAAAAACGGACTTCAAGAGTTCCGAAGTAAGATATTGTTGTAATTGTGTTTGAACCAGTCGCAACACGGGAAAGGTTTGATATGTGTGATATCTCTTTTGGTGAACCCACTTTTCCTAGGATATTAATTTGTTTTAGGAGTATAACTTGATGAGGCGACTTAGGAACAAAATGACGCAGTGATTTAGAGATTCCGAGGACGAAATCATTTTAAAGAGGGAAAAATTGTAACGACCCAAAAATCTCATTGTAAACGATGTTAGTTTTCCGTTATATAGGATTAAGTTGTATGTGTGTTTTGCTTGAGATTATATATTTTATATATAATAATATGAACAATAAGGAGATTAATTAGGATTTAAGAGCATTAATTGATGTTTAACTGAGTATCAAATATTTAAATAGTAATTAAATTATTAAAAAATATTTAGTTTGTATTGTGATGTAGTTAATAATTAAAAATGTATGAAATGTTTTA